CTCTCCCACCATCATCTGGTGCTCCATAGACATAAATATAATATAGCATATAGGGACTGGGAAGAAAATGCAATAAAATTAAAATCTATGCAGAGATTTTGTTGTTGTAGAAATCTTTATCTTTTACAAGGGAGGCCAACTGCCAGCTAAAGCAACTGGCAAAATAGCATACAAGCTGGTAAGGTGTTGGATATTAATATCTGAACTATGATTCTTTGAATCTGGTGAGATGGAAATACTTTAACTTATCTTCCCCATGCTAGGGTAACACCTCACGAAACAGACCTGAATAACAGTATATTTCAATGCTCAGAAAGATTCTTTATATATTTGTGGGATGATGCAACTTCCAAGTACAATATTTTTGAAACCATATTGTTAAGCAGATTATTAGATTGATATCATAGAATTTCAAAGCCACGTATATTATTCTGCTTGATTTGTAACTTCCACAATACAAGCAATTCAGAGGATATAGAAAGAGAAGTTTAAGAAAGACCAGCTTCTTTCTAAGTTCAATGTGGGTAGAGTAAATTATGCTTTCCCTTTTGAAAAATGAAAGAAAAAATCAGACACACTTTGTTATTGTTACTATTCCCTGTCTAGGCATAAATTCAGGATACCAGATGAGCATCTATGATCTGACAAGGAAGTAGCAATTTGGCGGCCTTAAGCATGTCTGTATGTCCTGTCACTTTAAAAGTGCCCCGCACATTTTGCTCACTACTACAACCAGTTTATGGGTTCATGATGATAAAAGAAGGGCTTGTTCTGGGCTAGGAACAAACATAGAATCATAAAAGACCTGATTCTCATTTAAGACCCACCTCACAGATTTCAGGCTCCCCTCCTTTGCCCTGCCTTTTGTACCTAGCCCCACCTATAAGGATGTCAGGTAAGTGCAGGGTTGAAAGAGTATGATTAGAGATGTCAAAATTCATTTTGCCAGATGTTTTTCTTTTGTTAACAGGTGTCATTTTCCCTTGCAATTCATTCACCTCGTTTCTCATTTATTTGAATAAAGTTGCTTGACGTAATAGTTAAATAATGCAGATACGCTAGTCAATATCATTATAAAATATGATTCTACTTTAAATAAACCATAATTTTTCTACCTTCTCAGAAGTGACCAACAATAAAAGTGCATATTATACATCTGAAAAATGTGAAGTATTAGCTCTCATTGACTCCAACCAGACATTAAAATCTGTTTTTATAGGCTAGAGCCCATGAGCTTCACTGGCCTACATCTAGCAGGGGCAAACTTCTAAAACTTTCGGGATGGGAGAAAATCACCCACATACATTTCAGAAAGTGTTATTACTTCCATTCTAATTTAAGGAGTAAGCAGACCCCTGGATTTTGACAAATTCACCTCTGCAACATGTTACAAAAGGAGAAGAGAAAAAGGCATGGGATCCACATCTGACTCACATCTCACTGTGCAGTCCTGCCAACAGGAGAACAGATTCAGTGCCACAGGCGTGGCACATTACTACTCTTTGTCCTCTCTCAAACACTGGCATCTAAAAGCATACTCAATAGTCATCAGATTTCCCAGGTCAGTTTACAAAGAAAAAGAGAAAATATTGCCACCAAAGCTTGGGATCTGGGCACTTGCTACAACAGTGAATTTCTGAAGGTGACAGGTTACATAATGAGTTTGCAGTTAGGATTGCACCTGGCCCTGGAAGGTTGCCACGCCATGAACAGAGAATATCAGCTCACTTGCACCGGTGAACAACAGACCAGCGCTGCCTTTGCACACTTGATAAGCTGTTCTTGTTATTAGGGACACTGATTCAGCTGTTCCAGCTGTATATGCTATTGTTTGTTCTCTCTTATTTGCTCACCATATATAATGATTTCCTCAGATATGCAAGAGTACTTGGGCTTTGCTTTTATTTAGAAACTGTTTTTCTTTCGTACGTGAGTGATTGCCGAGCATTCAATTATAGCTGAATTTGAAATGGTTAGGATCCAATTCTAATTGATTTCATTGTATATCAATAGAGTTTCTAATCAAGCACAAGAGCTGTCTGAAGTTCAATGCTGAATGACTAGTTAAGTCCCTACCATTTTTACTTATGCCTAAATCAGTAAGTAGTATTTTATTTCATTTTTGACGGGATCTTTTTGTGTCTGGCATTGAGGCATTTACAGCTATTTGTTGACATTAGAATGTGTATTATTTTGTAAACCTGTACATTCCAGGCCAGACAGAAGCACTTGAAATGCAAAAATGATAAACAAAAGAAGTACTCAGGAATATTTTTAAATCTAAGGAACATTTTTGTAGAGGAGGTGAACAAACCCAGCAGCTATTTGACATTAGAGGTTCAGACTGCCAGTTTATGGTGGGTAAGGGAAGTTAAGTGTTATTTTTTTTTAATACATAATGTCAAGATTACAGAGCATCACTGCACAGAGGGTGAGGCTTCAGAAGATAGCCAGACAAACCAGTTGTTAAGAGGGTGGCTGACTGGCTGCTTTGCTAAAGATAAATCTTTCCTCTTCCAAATATTCTGAAAAAAAGAGTAGACTAATAGCGAGAAGTGTAGTGATTTGCACATGATCCAAGCCATTGAGTTATTCCTGCCTGTCCTCATTCTGGTTCTTGATTTGCAGGCCAGCTATGCTCTGCAGCTGGAGCAAATTATATCAGCAGAAGTGCTGATGTGACCACAAGTTGACAAAAGGACATGATTTCTAGTAGTGAAAAAGCAACTAGATTTTATGAAATTGTATCTAATAATGTTGTTTAACTCATGGATCCTGCATCTGACGCCTGCTTTTTATCCAGTCCTTTCAGCGGCCCTTTGTTAACAGTCACTCAGAAGAGGAAATAAAATGTAGCCATTGAAATAAAAATTGCTCTACTCTTTTTAATAGCTCAGCTGCAGGCTCTATTGTTTTATTTAATGGATTGTATAACTGAAGTCTCTCCTCCTGATGATTCCCATTTGGCTTCTGAGTCCCCAAACTCTGTCAGAATCTTGGGGGTTCCAGAAAGGAGGGGACCCTGGTGCTTTGCTTGTTCAGAGTACAAGTGGGTAGTAAAAGTGATAAGATTCTTTAAAATATAATTCCTGCTCTGGACTCTACAGTACTATGTGCAAGAAGCAGCGATTTCTCATCAAAAGAAAGCAAGATTAGATAGACTGTCCCATGATTCAACAATTTTAGTTCAGGACACAGGAGAAGTTTGCTTGGCTTAAATATACAAGAGGCAAATACGGTTGCTGGCAGTAGAAAGGGGATAAAAAGGAAATAGAAGGGCCAGAATAAACAACTGTCTTCTTTCTTGTCAAAATCCCTGTGTTGTCCTCTAATTGAGAGATGTGTTCTCTGCCCTGGGAACCCTCCAGTGCATCTCTTTATCCTCTTGCCTGACTATCCATGGACAGTATATGGGAGTGTACCTGTGAATCATTTGCCTGACTCTCATCCTGAAGGGTGTCATGTGAACATATTATATTTTGAATTATTTAATTTTTGTTTTTGTTTTTAAGAGCAGTTAAAATGTGTCTGGATTTTGCTGGAAGAACTACAGGTGATTTTAAAAAAATATATGTTGCTTCTCCTTTTCTAAGATAAAATTGTACTCTGTGTATATTCAAAAGATCAAAGTTAAAAAAAGTGCTTCCTACCTAAGAAAAGTGGTATAAAATACCAAAAAAAAAAAAAAAAAAGGATTGACCTCCTCCCTCCCTGCTTCATATTTATAAATATTTTAAACATGAATGAATTGTAGACTACCTGCAATTTACCTGACTAAAATAAACTGTTATGCTATGGTTCTTGGAGAATCCTGCAAAAAGCTTTTATAATTTATTTTTGTCCTGCTTTGATATGTTTCGTCAAAGCAGGTTCATTGTTTTAGGGAGAGGAGGAGAAAGATTTGTTAAATCATGAACTGCTAAGAAGCCTTTCAGCTGACGAAGATATACAATGTACAAAGCAGTTAAAACAAATCACATGGTATAACCTGTTAAGGGTGTAATTGAGATACATGTAATCATTAACCTTGGAACAGACTGGGAATCCGTTAATGAATCAAATCAATACCCTTTCCACTGATCCATAATAATTTGAAAGAAATGAAAAATTTAACAGTTACTGTATGTGAGGTTATCGTGGGCTGCAATTAGCTAGCCTCCAGGAGATTATGTTACCTAGTTACCAAAAGGTAAGTATAACTTCCGTAGATCTTCTGGAGAGATAGATTGTCGTAGAGACAGGTGCCAGACGTGGAAATGGGTCAGGAAAAGATATTTGGTAGGGCCAAAACCTGGGTCATCTTTCTGTCATTTCATTCTGTACATCCTTCTTATGACATTTCATATAAAGCAATGTGGATGTATTGCTTTGAAAAGGCGTTACAATTGGATTTTGTCAGTTTAAAAAAAGTGATTATCTCTTTTTATCTTAGTACATGTCTAGATCTCACAAGAGATGGCAAAGAGGTCAAGGCAAAAATTCTGCATTTGGGAACAGAATAACACATGAGCTTTCTGCTGCAGGCAAGATACTTGTGTATGAAAATATTTCATGTTTGTACAACTCCCTCATCTTAACATCCCAACGTGGTCATTATTGCCACTGGAATTTTATAGAAGGATAGTGAAAAGGAATGAATGTCTTGCCTCATTGAATATAAACTGAACCCCCCAATTTTTACATCCCCATTTGGCAAGTAGCAGATAGCACCCTGCAAAAGTGTAGAAAGAGCAAAATGATCTCAGGGCCTATGGCTTTTATATATATTGCTTTTATGTAAATCTTAGTTAGAAAAAAACAATCTTGGTATGTGAAGTTCCATAGGAAGATCTCAATTTGGGGGAGATATAAAAAGAGATATTGCCATTCTCTAGGGAATCAGTAAATAAAACAGAATTTTAAAAAATGCATGTAAAATGTATGCGTATGGAAATGTTAAGAGCCTTATTTTATAATGCCAAGGAGGGCACAAGATAAAAACTGTTGTCATTTGTTTCCAGGGAAAGCAGTCGGTGAGACCCAGGCACAGGAGGAGAGTTCGTTAGCTACCACATGTAAAGCTGAGAGCAGATGGCGCCGTTGATACAGAACGCAGGAATGTGCGTGTTTATGCGGGTGCGTTTCTGTGCGTGTGCGTGTGGAAACCAGCAAGGAGTTTGACACTGATGTACTCCATCAAGTCCAGTTATAAAGAACAAGTAGATAGAACAACATTCTGTGCATCTGGCAGCCTAACTAGCTCTGTCAATCTGTGGATACTGCTGACATTGTACTATAAGCTTCTATTCCATCTGTGTTGTTTATTTTGAGCTGGATTTACTGCACACTATGTGAATTGATGATGGCTAGAAGGTCCAAAAGATTCTGAGTCTGTTTAAAGTTCCAAGGTGTCAAGTTACACAGGATTGTGTCACGAACATTATGAAAGGGTAAGTGGAGAGGCAAACTGGTTTCAGTACTTGTTAGGCGTCCAAGAAAAATTGCCGAAAATATAGATGAAGAAGGTTTATGAAAACATCTAAAGAGTACATATGAACTCCTGCAATCAAATGTTTCTTTTTCAAGTTGTATTGTGTCATTTTAAAAAATTCAAAATATGTACAAACAAATAGACAAGTCAAATCAGCTCTCCACTCTGAGGTTGTGACATGCATAGTATTCAGAACTTCCTGATCGGTACCATACTAAATTGCCAGAATAAAGGGATGGACTTGATGGGTGAGGGCTACACCTGTCTTCTTTCTGACTAGCTAGAACTGAGAAACAAGTATGTTTCTATACATTCACTATTAAGTTATTCTGTGAAATTCTTTTCTTGCTTCAGCTTCTTTCTAATATGTAGAGACATTTATAAATCTTTCTACTATACAGTTATGAAACAGGCTTTGCTATCTTCACCAAGAAATCCCTGAATAGTTAAGAATACAGTTTTTAATGAAAATTGTATACATGTATATGGGAAAAACAACACTCTTTGATGTAGATCATCTATATCAAGGCTTTTGTCTGTTTTAATTTCCAACGTAATGTGCAGCTTATGCTAGCCTTCATAATCCAGAACATTCCTATGAACACAGAGAAAAGGGATTTAATGATTCAGGTGCTATATAAGCATCTCTATATCTGATGTCATTCATTTCATGTGGTGAAATGTCTGCTTGTGTGGTGAGTAGCCCAGATTAGACTTTTCCTGCACCACAAACGATACAGACTAGACTATATGCAGTTTGGCTTATGATCATTGAGGGAAAAAACCATTCTGCTTATGGTATACAAATTTCAATTTATGCTTTTAACCCCCATTCAGTTAGTTAGTGGTTAGTTAGGTTGAATTGTGTCATTGATTACATATGTATTTATATGTAGCTCTGTCCTTCTTTAAGGAACATTTTTAGTTATCCTGCCTCATTTGTCTCAGAGCTAGGACATCAAACAGAATCTGCGAAATTAGTTCATTTGCTTGGTAATACTTAATATTCATTGTTCATAAGTATTTATTCATATTCACACTATATGCTAGGTAATGTGAAATACACAAACTAATATACTATATGATTCCTATCCTCAAGAAATTTAATATCTAGTTGATGAGTTAAGATATTCTTATAAAAATATGAATAGCAATACATGTATTAAATATCATCAATTTAAAAAGACAAGAATGGCACAAAGTAGACCAAAATTAAGTTGGAAGCATTCCTATAGTCTTCTGTCTGCCACACTAGACTGGAGGCTTCCTCTCCATTAGATATCTCACCTAACTCCTCAACAACTCTGTGAGATGTCTCTTTCTTCCCCTAGATGACAGAGGCTGGGAAAATGAATGTAACATGCCTAGATCACATAGCCACCAAGGGACTGAACAATGCTTTACTGCAATTCACCTCTACAAACGTATATTGAACATCTGTTCTATACCAGGCATAGTTCTTGGCACTGGAATAAGTAAAATGAAAAAGCTGTTTCAAGAAGTATACAGGCTTGTAAGGAATAAAATGTAAAGTGTTTCATGTGAGCACAGTGCAGCAGTGCTGAAATATATATATGCATAGGGAATGAATGATAAGAACAGAGGAGAGGGCAACTAGCTCAGAAAGCTGATGGAGCTTGACAGAGAAGGAAAAGGTACTGCCTTCCCAGACAGGCACAGGCATGAGCAAAGGTATACCGGTATGAACAAAAGCGGTAGCAGGAAATATAATGTTTGTAGCAAACCCTGGTAATTCATGTAGGCCACTGAGGGAAGCACATTGAATATTATGCATTCATAACAGGACATAATAGGAAGTAATCCCAGTGGGCTGAGGTAGTGAGGAAAGGCTTGAGTGAGATTGGTCTTCAGTTGACTCATAAAATTTGGGTAGATTTTGAATAGAAAGATAAAGAAATAATTGGATATTGTAGATAAAAGGGACCAACAAATATGTGGAGATAAAAATGTATTAAACCGATATGGCAGATGATTGAGGGATAAACGGGCCAATATGGCAGATCTCACTTTCCATTTCGGCATTTTGCCACGTACAAACTTGGAACTTATTATTATCTAGAACTAGTCCATCTCTAAAAATCTTAAATTCCTTTCTCTGACAACAGCTTCTTAGCCTTTCAGTTCTCATTCAGTCATCCCCATTCTCCACACTTGATCATGACCTTTAATTCCTTAACCCTCAAAATCGTGTGTCTCTATGATTCCCAATCTAATTCCCGACTAACTTAGATTCCCTGGCCTACCACTTTAAGCTCTCTTTTTACCTCAAATTCCTCGCCAAATTTTCTGTTTATATTGCACCTTCCTGGGGGAAAAAAAACAAACAAACCCTGAAGATTGGATCAATTTTTCCTTAGTTCCCTACCTCTCTTTCCCATTATTCCAAGAAATGGTTATTATCTCTATTCTCCTTTATGTTAGCTAACTTTTTACCCTCAGTTTATTATCTCTTCACAAAGAAAACAGAAGCTATCATCCAAGCATGCAAGCAAACGGACATCCGTACCCACTGCTTCTAACTCTTCCATCACACATGTGGGTGTGTTATTCCTTCTGCATGAGGCCAATCCTTTCATCTGTTCTCTGGATTCTCCTTCTCCCTCTTCTATCTCAGGCTTTCAAGGACCATACTTCCTTGAAAATCCTGTGTTTCTTCCTTCTCGTCCCCCATCCCCCGATTTCCATGTTTTCACTGGTTCTTCTCAAAAATATTGTCTCAATATACCTGTCTCTCGCCATTTTTAAAAAACAACCCAACACCCTTGTCTTCAAGTCACTCTTCACCTACTGTCCTATTTTTCCCTTTCATAGGGAAACTTCTTAAAAAAAAGTATTTTTTAAGAAGAAAAAACACTAGAACCACCGTTTCCCCCTTGCCTCACTTTCTGTGCATTCCCCAACCCATTACAATCTGGAAACCACCCCCAAGAATTTCCTGAAACTGTTGTTACTTGCCTTGTTTCTAAATCCCTAATGGGTACTCTTACCTTATTTTACTTGTAGAACTTGGTATTGCTGACTAATTTCTCCTCTTTGAACATGATTTCCTTAGTTTAATGATACCACACTCTGTCATTTTCTTTGTCTTTCTTTCTCTTTCACTGCCATTTCCCTAAACATCAGTGTCTTCAGGGTTGTCTCTTAGGCCCTTGACTCTTACTCTATACATTCTTCTGAGGAGCATCATTTGTAGCTTTAATTACCATCTATATGCATATAGCTTTGTTTACCACCTCCAGGTGAAAGAATCCAATCCAAGGAATAAATCCTTTAGTATATAGTACTGAGCTCAGTCAGTCCTATATATTAAACTAATTACTCAACTCCTCTCCTTGGATGTTCCACAGCCATCTGAAAGGCTACATGTCCAAAACTGAATGCACCATCTCCTTCCTTCATTCTTCTAGCCATACTTCCTAAATATTTCTCAAATACATGAACTTCTGTTTTTCTTTTCTAAAAACATTAGTCTCATCCTGATTAAGGTAAACCAAGAGACTCAATAATTTAAGACATCTATAATTCAGTAAGGAAGTTATACTTCAGATGGCTGGAGGAAAGAAAATTAAATGGAGCTCACAGTATAGCTCTCTTAATTAAATTGAAACAGTTGAAAGAACCACAGCTAAAATACTAAATTTCAAAGGCCTAACCCATTAAAAACAAGTATTTTAAGTAAGTTAAGGATAAAAAGCATATCATCTTTATATTTATATTCCTAGCTCAAGCACTGTGATTTACAGCAGAGTTGCTGGTCAATTAATACTTATTTAATGAATTAATAGGTTTGTTCTTAAATACTACAGAAAAGCAAGAAACGTTACAAAGTTCTCACCAATTCATTCATTCATTCTCTTATAACTTATTCTATACACCGAATGGCTGATGAAATAAGGATGTCAAAACTGTTTCTACTTGTGTCTGATGGAATTACCAATTGCCTTAGAACATAATAATAAAAAGAATATCAGGCATTAAAATGACTAGCCATGTTAGCTTTGTATAAAAACGAAGTTCTATTCTACAGCCTTACTTTGCAAAACCAACCACTATTCAAAATGTTTTTGACTGGCTCAACCTAGCTTATTGCTGTAGGTGGAAAACTAGTGTTTTACACATCCTGCTAATGAAGAAATCTGACGCTTCTTTAGCCACAACAAACTTTATCTTCTTTTTCCTCAGTAAAGTCATTTCCTCCCTGAGCAGTGATACAGACTAACATGCTGTAGAAATTGGTAAGTCTAGTTCGTCTTTCAGTAATACTCTGGACTTGAAGCAAACAGAAATGAAATTTTACTGTGGTCCTGTCCTCCTTTTATTATGAAATATGCAAATACAAGAAAAAGTATAAAAAAGATAAGTGCACAATTTAATGAATTATAATAAAGCAAACATCTGTGTAACGATCAACAGGTTACAAAATAGAACTTTGCCGACAGCCTGCCAATTATAACTCCCACTCAAAGAAATCATTGTCCAGACATTTACGATAATAATTTTCTTGCTTATCTTTATAGCTTTACCACCTAAAAGTATATCACTAAATAATATAATTCAGCTTTGCCTGCTGTGAACTTTATATAAAGGGACTCACAGAGTATATATTTCTTTGGTGTGACTTCCT